CCAGCAAACCAGAAACGCAACCCGGACAGAAAAATTGTGGCTGTCGGACGGAGAGGCCAGCGTGCTCCCGTAGATATTAACGTCTTAATGGGGAAGGCTCCGCGTGTGTACATTTACTGCTCTCTGACAAGAGGGAATTAAATGTCAGAAGGATTTGTAGCATCTATAATTGAATTGGTGCTGAGAAAAGCAGATCTTAAGGAAGAATAACGTATTAGGATTAGCAAATAACGTGGCGTTTTGTCAGTTCCTGCCATCTCGTCCGGGCCCTCTTCAGGAATCAAGTTGTGATTTCATCTTCAATCGTAGATGTGAAGCGGGAACGGCTTTTGGGAATTGGAGGCGGCGTTTTAGAGCAGATGCCAGGGTTTAAGGTCTGTCTTGGCACAAATTTGGGGAATTGCTCCTCGCTCCATATCCCGACGCTTTTTTCGTAATTACCAAAGAAACGACGAGCGACAGCAAACGGCCGCTGTCGTGCCGGTGGCCCACCAATGGATGTTGCTTGGAGCGGTGTCCAAAATTGTGGCGATGGGGTCTGTGGCTTTGCATGCGGAAGGGAAGGCAAGGCAAGGGCAAGGCAGAGCGGGGTTGACGTTGGGTCCCTGCGTTGGAGCGTACGGAGTCTGGCGAGGCACTGGAGGCGAGGCGGTGCGGGGGTGCGGAAGGAGGAGGATCTGGCAAAGGGAACGGTGTTGTCAGGCTCTGGAATGGGCTGCCCAGGGAAGGGGTCGAGTCCCCATCCCTGGAGGTATTTAAAAGAAGGGTGGGTGAGGTGCTTAGGGACAGGGCGTAGTGGTGGGATGGCAGGGTTAGGTTAAAGGTTGGACTCGATGATCTTAAAGGTCTTTTCCAACCTGGACGATTCTATGATTCTATGCCGGAGCAGCTTGCGTAGGGAGGATCCGTCGTGGGAACGTTCTGTTTAGGAGTTGGAGTCAGAAAGCAGCCTTAGCAGTGCCGTAGGCATCGCTGACTGCCACGGGGATCGTGGTCCCGGGGCTCTCAAGGTGTCGTCTTTTTGCTTTCCTGTTGAAGAAAAAATACGTGAGAGGCCCAAAAGATTTTCCAAAATTGGCATTTTCCTTACAAATTGCAGGTAGCTTCTCTCGGGAGAGCAAATCGACGCGAGGTGGAAAAGGAAAACCCCCAGGGTGGCCTTTAGGTCCCCCGGTTTTAGGA